CGGCAGAGATGTAATGGAGGTGGCAGGCACAATTAGCCATCCATAATTCCGCCGAGCAGCTGATTAAAGTCTCTTTATCCGTCTTACCGAGATCAGAAGGGCACATATTTGGGAAATCAAAAATGTATTAGGGGCTGTCAGCCAGGGTCTGTGTGCTGAGCCCGGGGCAGTGGCAGGTGCCAGGAGTGGCACAGAGCTGCTGCCTGTGCCCCACATCGGGGCTGGGCCCCCCACTCGTGTGGGTGCAGCTCCTCTGTGTGGGTCCCTGGCAGCACCAGTCACTCCATCCTGGTGTCCCAGCACCCCTTCCCTGTGCGGAGCAAGGGATGGGATGGGGTGGGGATGGCTCCTCTGCAAGGTCTCTCAGTGCAGGAAAGTGCCATTGGGCTTTTAGGTGCTGTGGAGACATGGAGGGGTGCTGGGCTCATCCTACACCCAACGAGTGAGGGAGTGCCCACCAGCCAAACGGTCTGAAGGGCTCTTAATGCAGCCGCCTTCCCTCGCCATTCCCAGGGTGTTCCAAAATGCCCCGTGGTGGGAATTTCATGGATGGGGTGAACACAGCAGGAAGAGGGAGGCCCCAGCCCCGTGGTGGGAATTTCGTGGCTGGGAAGAACGCAGGTGGAGCGGGGAGCTGCTCTCGGAGCCGCTGGGGCTGCTGCGGGGTCCGTGCGAGCTCGGTGAGACCCGGGGACGCGCAGGGACAGCGGGACGCGGGTCCCGAGCCGGGGCGGTGCAGGAGCCCCGCTGTCCCTGGAACGATGCCCGCTCCCCGCGCCGAGCTGGGAGCGGGACGGGGCTTTCCGTGGGTGGGCTCCTGGGAGGGGGTTCCCACGGGCGGCTCCTGCCCGGCCCCCGGCGCCCCCTCCCCACCGCCCGCGGGGGCGGGGGGTCCGCGCTCCCCGCGCTCCCCGCGCCCGCCCCCGGGGGCCCGGCGGAGGGCACGGGAGGGCACGGGAGGGCTCAGCCCCGCACGGCCCCGCACCGCACAGCCCCGCACAGCCCCGCACGGCGCTGCGATGGAGCGGGCGGCGGGCGAGGCCCGGCCCCTGCTGCCCGCCCCGGGGGGCTCCGCCGCGCTCCCCGCCCCCGGGCTCTCCTCCGCCGGCGCCGTCTTCATCCTGCTCAAGTCCGCGCTGGGCGCGGGGCTGCTGAGCTTCCCCTGGGCCTTCGGCAGAGCCGGCGGGGCCGTGCCTGCCCTCCTGGTGGAGCTGGTAAGGGGGCACTCGGGGGGCACACGGGGGCGAGGGGCTGCGGGCACAGGGAGCCGAGCGGCGCCGGGATGGGGATGGGTGGAGAGCGAGGTTCACCTGCTCTGGTGTTTGGGAGCTGGCGGGGACCCCCCTTGGCACAGCACCCCCGTCCCGACCCCGCCTGGGGCAGGGGTGCAGCAGCCTTAGGGGATGCCCTTTGCAGCTGAAGCCACGCTTGCAGCTGCCTTGCGGCTCAGCCTAAAATCAAATTGGTGTCCGCTCCCATACATGTCCCCAAACCCCAAATCTAAACCCCAAGTATCCCACGGGGCTGTGTCTCCATCCGTTTGCTGACCTGTGTTACCCGGGGCCACAAGGCAACCTGGCTGCTGGCCTGGGCCCTGCTGGTGGCCCTGTTGGGTCCCCGCGGGTGTCGGGGGTCGGTGTGATGCTTCCCTCCGGTGCTGTCCCCGCAGGGCTCGCTGGTGTTCCTGGTGAGCGGACTGGCCGTGCTGGGCTACGCGGCGGCTCTCAGTGCCCAGCCCACCTACCAGGGGGTGGTGCGGGCGGTGTGCGGGGCGGCCGTGGGGAAGCTCTGCGAGCTCTGCTTCCTCCTCAACCTCTTCATGATCTCCGTGGCCCTTCTGAGAGTGGTGGGCGACCAGCTGGAGAAACGTGAGTTGTTTTCCCCCGCCGTGTCTGAGGCTTGCTTGGGGCCGGCAGCTCTCGGGAGCGGGGGGGAGCTGGTCCCAGGGTGGGCTACACTCCCTGGTCCTGGGGCTCCTGCCATAGTGTGATGCTCCCGACCCCCCTGGGCCACCTTTCGGGGTGCAGCTGAGCCCCCACTGCCCCCCACAGTGTGTGACTCCCTGTACCCCAACGGGACGCTGAGCGGGGCCCCCCAGCTGCCCCCCTGGTACGTGGACCAGCGCTTCACCCTCTCTGCCCTCTGTGTCCTCGTCATCTTCCCGCTCTCTGTCCCCAGGGAGATTGGCTTCCAGAAGTACTCCAGGTACCGCCTGGGCTATCCCTGGGGTGGCCCATCCCTGGGTACCCTGTACCCCAGGTTTCCTTCCGGGAACCTGCAGGGCCATGGGACCCCCCCCTCCCTTTCTCCCAGCTGTGTGCTGACCCTCTGCCATGTCCTGGCAGCATCCTGGGCACACTGGCTGCCTGCTACCTCACTCTGGTCATCATCCTGAAATACTACCTGCAGGCAGAGAGCCTGAGCTTGGGCAGCCCCCCCCAGCCCTCCAGGTAAGGGGGTCAGCGCCGTGTCTCTCCTGCCCTGACCCCCATGACATCAGCAGTGGCATGGGGCAGGGCTGGAGGTGGGGCAGGGCTGGAGGTGGGGCAGGGGTGGTCCCAGGGCCTGTGTGTGTGGGGCAGGGGGGAGTTGGGGACAGCATGCAGTAGTGGTAGGTGAATGGCAGCTCCCAGTCCCGTCTTTCACCCCAGCAATTCCCCTTTTTCCCAAAATCACTGTGGAGGAGGTTCCCATGGTGGCATCCAGGCTGCACAATTTATGCCACCGAGGTTCCCTCTGCTTTTGTGAGCCTCACACCCTCTGCTCTGTGCTTCCTCCCCACGTGCCGCAGGTCCTCCTCCTGGGCCTCTGTCTTCAGTGTCATTCCCACCATCTGCTTTGGCTTCCAGGTAGGTCACCCTGGCCCCCCGGTCCCATCTGCCAGGGCAGTGCTGGCAGCCTCCCACAGCATCCCAGGCCGTGGAGACGCCATCCCTGGAAGGGCAGGTTGCAGGGAAGGGGACCTGTGGCTGTCACCAGAGGTGGCTGCAGGGCAGGATGCAAGTCCCTGGGGATGGGACAGAGCAGGGCAGGGCACCCGGGGGTGACAGGGAGGATGCTGGGGGTCGGGCCCCAGCACCATCCCCCCTTGCCCTGCAGTGCCACGAGGCGTGTGTGGCCATCTACAGCAGCATGAGCAACCAGAGCTTCTCCCACTGGGTCACCGTCTCTGTGCTCTCCATGCTCGTCTGCCTGCTCATCTACTCCCTCACTGGTAACCCAGCCCCGAACCCTTCACCCCTCCTTGCCCCGGGGTGCCCTCCCCATGGCTCATCCCTCCTCCTCGGGGCTCCCCCCTCCCTGCCAGCAGGGCTCTATGGCTACCTGACCTTCGGCCAGGCCGTGGCCTCCGATGTGCTGATGTCCTACCCCGGGAACGACCTGCTCGTCGTGGTCGCCCGCCTGCTCTTCGGGGTCTCCATCGTCACCATCTACCCCATTGTGGTGCTGCTGGGCAGGTCAGGCCGTGGTGACCGGCTGGGTGTCCCCCCCGGCTAGTGCAGCTCCTCCGGGTGCCACAAGCCCCCCGATCCTCTCGTGCAGGTCGGTGGTGAAGGATTTGTGGGCAGCCCCCAAGTGCGGGGCCGCGGCGGCGCCGGAGGCGCAGGAGCGGCGGGTGCGGGTGGCACTGACGGTCACCTGGATGGGCACCACCCTCGCCATCGCCCTCTTCGTCCCTGACATCGGCAAAGTCATCGAGCTCATCGGGGGCATCAGTGCCTTCTTCATCTTCATCTTCCCAGGCAAGAGGAGGCAGTGGGAGGGGGGTTCTGCCAGCGCCGGGAGCATCGCTGGGGTGGTGGGTGGCCCGTCCTGGCCCCGTTTTGGGGGTGCAGGGTTGGGAATGCCACAGTGGGTCTGGGTCAGGGGCACTGTGGCAGAGGGGCTGAGCTTCTGCACTGGCAGCAGGGCTGTGCCTGGTGTGCATGACTGGGACCCGCAGCCTCGGACCACGCAAAAAGTGAGTTTCTGGGGGGGGGGGGCGAGACCCTGCAGAGAGCCCCACACGCAGGGGGACTGGGGCACGGGGAGTGGCCCGTTCCTGGGGTCAGCTCTGTCCCAGTGGCCCTGTGCTGGTGTCCCCACAGGGCTGCTCTCATCGCCTGGGGTGTGCTCTCCGTGCTCGGCGGTGCCTTTGTCTGCGGGCAGAGCGCTGCCCTGGCCGTGCTGGGGCTGCTGCGCTGAGGGCTCACGGCCCCACCACGACCCCTCCTCCATGGCCCCCTCCTCCACGGCCCCTCCACCACCTCCCCCAGCCCACGGCCCCGGACAGAGCCCGGACACGGCACTGGATCCCATCGCGTTTATTTGGCATCACGTCCCCGTGGTACAGTGGCTAATAAAGACAGGACAGGGTATCAATGAGGGTCCTGTGCCACACACCCCGAGGGACCCCCGTGCACAGGGGGCTGGGTGCAGGATGGGCACGGACAGACAGACACACAGACAGAAGTACAGACCCCAGGAAGGGGGTAGGGGGGGGGCAGCCACCCTCACGCCTGCAAGGCACTCGCTTCAACTGCACAAGGAAACCCCTCGGGACCCTCCCCGCCCGGAAAAGACTAAGGGTTGCCTTGGGAGCAGGGATAACTCCCCCTTTGCCACCACCTTGACTCCCCCAGGCACACACACACTGTGCCAGGCACAGCCTCAACTCCTCCAGCCCCTGCCCTGGGTGGCCCTGGGGACTAGCACGGACCCCCAACCTACTCCCTGCTTGCAGGGGGGGCTACAGCCTCCCACTCCCACCTCTACTTCCCAATGCCTGGCTGCCTGCACCCTGCCCATCCCTGCCTGCCTATATCTGGGGGATGTCCCCCTCCCCAAACCCTGCCAGCCCCTCCCTGCCAGACCTTCCCTTCCCAGGGACCACCTCGTGCCAGGGAGGGTGATGGGGTAGCTGGGGGAGGACTCTATGGGGTGGTGGGGACACACACGGGGGTTTCCTTCACTCCAGTCAGGTCACACCCACTCCCCACCAGGCAGGGGGTCACGGCCACCCCCCGGCACCGACGGTCAGTCCCGGCTCAGGGTGCACCAGGCAGCTGCAGGGGAACAGCACAGGAGGGTCACCCCTGCCCAGCCCAGGCCCCCTGCCCACCCCTGACCCCGAACAATTGGAGCAGGGCTGGCTGCCATGGGGTCCCTGTGCCCCCCAGGGCACTGCCCTCCTACCTGGCACTGCCACGCTGGACACGGCCTCGGGCTGGCTCAGCGTGTCCACCTTGACGTGCTGGAAGCCCTTGCAGGTGGCACTCTGCAGGTGCCTGCGGCCGGGGGGGACAGTGGGTGACCCCCCCCCCCAGAAACCCCGTCCCAGCCCCCCCCCCCCACAGCTCCGGGGGCTCTGGCAGGGGCCGGGTGCCAGCGATCCCACTCCCCTCCCCTCCAGCACAGCTCCCTGCCTCACTTCAGGACAGGTGGGTGCAGAGAAACCCACCCCAAGCCCCTGTCCCATTTACAGGGACAGCCCCAGGACACACAGACAGCTCTTTGGCCCTGCCACCAGACAGGGGACAGAGCCAGGGGCTCAGCAGCTCCAACAACCCTCCCCACCCCAGTATCCCACCAAAAAACTGGGCTTTTTGCACCCCCTCTCCTACCTCTTCCAGTCCTCCTCGGTCTCCCAGAACTCGTAGACGATGAAGGTGACCCCATCAGGCAGCTTCACCGCGGTGACACTGCCACAGGCAGGGACAGGGGGTGAGCCCCCAGCACGGGGCATCCCTGCCCCCTCGGCCCCTGCAGCCACAGATGTGCTGCAGGCTGGGTCACCGAGGGCTGACCCGGCCCCGACAGCCCGGGGAGGGGCGGCCCCCCAGCCCAGCGCTCCCCAGCCCGTGCAGAGGGGGATTGGTGACCGAGCACGACCCCGTCCCACATCGGGGCTGTTCTGCCCGGTCCTTCACTCGGTGGGGTGCCCTTTGCTGCAAGGGCAGCTGAACATCCTCAGCCCCCCCCAGCCCTCCCAGCACCCCCTGTGCGGCTGCCGCTGGTACCCACTGGAAGCAGTCCCGCTCCCCGGCCACGCTCTTCAGGTACTGCTTCAGGGAGCTGCAGAACTCGCCCAGGTGCTTGTGCGACACCGTCATCTCGGTCCGCACCAGGAGCAGGTACTGCCGGCCCCAAACACAGCACACGTGAGACACGGGGACCCCCGAGCCCGGGGCTGCAGGGACCCCCAGCCCCTGGGGGGGTTCGGGGGCTGCAGGGACCCCCAGCCCCCGGGGGGGTCGGGCACACTCACCGTGCAGGCGGAGCTCTCGCTGTCCGACAGCCGCTGGTGCAGGTCGAACCACAGCGTCTGCAAAAGGGGAGTGAGCAGTGCTGGGGGTGGGTTTCTGTCCCCTGCCCAGTGGGTTTCTGTGCCCAGCACTCGGCATGTCTGGCTGTGCCCCCTCCTCTGCAGGGGACAGCTCCAAGGGCCATTTGAACCTTCGTGCCCCACAGTCAGGACCCTCTGCAAGAGCTCCCTGTGCTCCCAGCACAGCCAACATCCCCAGCACCACGTCCTCGCCCCTGCCCCAAAACAGCTGTCACTGTTTCTCAGTCCCTGAACTGTCCCTAGGATGGCAGGACCAGGGGTACCCACCCCTCCTCACTGCCCCCTCACCCCTTCCTAGCTCTGGCACAGTCTTAGCTCCTCTGGCAATCACACTCACAGTCAATTGTTCCACATCCCACAGCTGCTGTCTGCTCATCAGGAAGAATATCCTCCAGCACCACCAGCAACCCAGCTCCCACCCGTGGTCCCTGCACACCACAGCACTGGGATGGGCATGGCCACCTCCTGGTCACCTCTGGCCCAAGGGAGGTGGTGGGGACACCCCAGGGACAGCCCCACACAGGGAAACGCTGGCCCTTACCTTGTCCTCCAGCTTGCCAATCAGCTTGGCCAGCCTGTTGATCTGCCCTTCCAAGCCCTCTGCCTTGGTGTCGGGGGAACCTGCGGAGAGCAGGAGGCAGTGATGGGGTGAGGGGCACCATGGGCACCCCCTGAGAGCCCCGTGCTGCTGCTGGGACTGCAGCTCCCACCCCTGAGCACTCCCAGCCACCCCAGGCAGCCACCACTTACCAGCCTGGAGGTTCTTGCCGTGCTCCCTGGGGGCCACCCAGGAGGTGGGAGGGTAGCTGGGCACGGGGCTGTCGTACCAGGGCTCACTCAGGCCATGGGCAGCCTTGCTGGGGTAGTGCCTGCAGCCAGAGAGCACAGGGCTGTCAGGATGGCAGAGCTGGCACACCCAGCACAGCCCCAGCACAGTCCTGGCAGCTCTGCCAGACCCTCTGCAGAGCAGCAGTGCCCACACTGTGCCCAGGCAGTGCAGGCTTCCCTCCTGTAACCACAGAGGGAGAGGCTCAGAGGGTTTCCAGAGTCCCTCCAAGCAGGAGCAGCTCCGTGCTGGCTGCCCGAGGTGCCCAGGAGCCCCAACCCCTCTTGGCATCTTTTGTGGTCACACAGCTCCCAGCTGGAGACTGGGAGAGTGCCAGGGAGCTGACGGGCACCACACCAGCCAGCATCTTCCTGCCCTCCTGCCCTTCCCAAAGCACAGCTGCCAGGTGCCCTTCCCCAGCCACCCCACAGACTCCTTGGGTGCTGCAGGAGCAGTGCCCAGGCTGCTGCTGGCCCCAAACATCAGCCAGTGTGGACTCAACCCTACACAGGGGAACAGGATGTGCAGATCTGGGCCCAAGGAACGTCCCCAAGATAAGGAAGCAAGAACAACAATAAAGGTGGCAGGAACATCCCTTTGCTGTGCAATAATCCCACTGCTGGTGCTGGATAATCCCCTGTCAATAGGCAGGAAATTAGGTGGAAACAGACAGAGATTTATTTTAATCACAATTTAATGAGGTGTTTCAAGCTTGGACCTCTGCCTTTGCACTTTGGTGTTCAGCCCTTTATTTTGGTGATTTTTAGGCCACCTCTTTGTCTTCGTGTGGATGCAGGAGATAGATTTTTTGGGGGGACTTATTTTTCTTTTTGGCTATTATCTTAGTGAGAAAACAACTACAATGCTCCCCATTATGAACCAGGCCCACACATCAGAAATAAAAGCCAGCAGTCTTTCAGAGGCTCTAATTGCTCTGCCTGACGCTGGGTTTTTTTCCTCCTCATAGTTTCCCAGGAGCTCCTCCAGGTTGCCTCCCCCCCACTGCTCGAGAGCTAAAAGGGATCCCGAGGGCTGTGGGAGAGTGAGGGGCAGTGCAGGACAGAGGGGTGGAGAAAAGCCCCCCCCGAGCTCTCAGGAAGCCGGGAAGGGAGGCAAAGAGAGAGGTGGCTGCTCCCCCAGCTCCCCTGTGCTCCCACCCATCCTCCTCCTCCTCCTCCCCTTCACCCCCCGCCCCAGGGAGGAGGGTGCAGTGCTGCAGACCTGCTGGGGTTGGTCTGCTCGTCGATGGCATCCACAGCACTCTCCACGGAGCTCAGCAGGGACTGGGTCTGGTTTGCTGTCTCCTTCAGCAGGAACCGGGTCACGAACTGCTCCACGTTGGTGCCGCTCTCGTACACCTGCCAGGGCACACGGGGATGTGCTGAGCACCAGCACCATCCCCAGCACTATCTCCAGCACCAACGCCCGGCACCATCCCCAGCACCATCCCCAGCACCTTCACCCAGCACCTCCACCCAGCACCGTCCCCATTGAGCACACCAGCACTCCTTTGTCTGTGGATAAACCCATGAGCAAAGCAATGTGAAGAAGAGATCACCCAAAGCCTGCAGTTGCTCTTTTTATCATGACTTTAAATTACTTTACTTATTTTCTCACAGGGCTGGGGGAGGTGTGAAAAGTGGCCCCTCTTGTGCTTTGGAGATCCCTACTCTGAGAACTTGGGCGTGTTTTACAGTGCTCTGGTCCACAGCAGTATGGCCAACCCAGCACTAAAGAAAAAGGAGTTTGGGGTGATTAACAGGGCTGGATGTACTCTTTGAGAAGCTCCCAGGGTAATCCAAACCCTTCTGAAACAGACAACATTCTAAAATATTTTAATAGCACAACTGATCAGCTGAAGCACCCAGGGCCCTTTCCCAAAACAGCTTTGCTGAGCCCTGCTGATGGCATGGTCCTGCTCCTGCTCCTCCTGCCAGCCAGCAGCAGAGGAGGGACAGTGGCACAGCCAGAAGGACACCAGCACACCCAGATGGACACTGGCACAGCACATTATTCCTGTTTTACCACAAAGCCATTAGCAGGGTTTATTTCCATGGCAACTGGAGCAGCTCTGCGAGGACCCAGAGGGCCTTTATCTTTTATATTAAATCATAAAAGAAGAACGAGCTGAAGGAAAAACCCTTGGGGTTCTGATCACAGAACTGATTTCTCACCCCTGAATTCATAGCAAAGCACGAGATTCTTGACAGCTTCTTGAGCATCCAATTAGCAGAGGTTAATGACATCTGTCTGACACAAAACACCTTGCTCCTCTCCCTGTCACAGCCACAGTGTTTCTGGTGGTCATTGGTGGATGCTGATGCTGAGCCACCTCCCTGTGCAGGCAGGGACAGTGGTGCCAGCCTGGCACCAGGGCTGAGGCAGCTGGTGGAGCCCACCCCGGGCTCTGTGGGAGGCACAGGCACCACCACGAGACAAATAAACAGCAACAGAGCCAAGGGCGAGATGAGGAAACAGTTGTTGAGCATTTGGAATGGGAAAAAAAACCTGAATACAGTCACAAACATCCCTGGATAGTTGGACAATCTCTGTTCTCCCTGGGCAAACACTCCCAGCTCGCTCAGAATTATACACTGCATGTGTATGGGTGTTCCTTCCATCATATCACATTGTACACACAGACACACATGTCACACCTGAACAGGGCTGTACAGACTTGCAGTGTATTAAATCCTTTTTTAAGGCACCTCACTCTTCACCCTCCTCTGCCCTCCTGCTTTGGGAAGAGCCCCACGTGGGGCCAAATCTGCCCCTTCACCCAGGCAATTATTCCATCACCTGATGCATCTTCCACTGGCCACACTCTGGCCAAGGTGGGTGTATTAAATGGATTTATTTCCTTGACAAACATATCATTGCATTTGGGATCAAAACCAATTTCTTTTGCGGTCGCCCCCTCCTTGGCTGCTCCCCCCCAGCCAGCCCTGCCTGCAGCCAGCACTCTGCCCGTGCTGAGGGCATCAATGACTGCTCAGACACTCCAACAGGCCCTGCTGTGATCACAGAGGAGCTCCCACACCCAGCCCAGCTCTGGGTGCTGCATGGGCAGAGGGGCTCCCACGGGCTGGGGCTTTGTCCCCCCTCCTGCATTTGATGCAGACCTGCCTGCAGGAGCTGCCACCACTGAACACAGAGATGGGTGTACTCCTTCCACTGCTCGACTGGGCTGTGCAATCCCTTGGGCTCTCCTCTAACATGATTTCTCTGGGATTGCAAAAACAAGTCATTAAGAAGACCAGCTCCAAGGAATCCTTCCCATCGTCTTATTAAAACATTCATCAGACTGTCCTACTGAGATTTAATGAGGTTTGCTCTTATTAATCTCACCTTGAAGAGTTATTTCCTCCTTGCTTTGCCTGAGAAGTTAAAATGTTTATGGAGATAATATAATAATTGCTGCTCAGTGAAGCTGCTTTGTGCCAGAAGCTCTTGGACATCTCCAAGGCTGCTCTTTTCCATCCATCAGTTCCAGGCTGGAAAGGCTTTGTCCAACTGCCTGGCCTTGATGTCTGCTGCAAACAGGTGGCTGTGCCCATTTGCAGTGAGCAGCAAATGTGAAAGCCTCATTGAAATAATGGCCTTGAGGATTCTGTGTTGGTGGCTCTCAGGAGAGAGAAACCAGAGAGGTTTAAAAATGAGAGAAAAGAGGGATAAGGAAAGCTTGCTTTATCAGGGAAATATTGCACAATGCCAGGGCAGTAAGACGAGGTCCAAGCCCCAAATCTCTCCCCTCTCTTCATGTCACAGGCTTTTCATGTCTCTGCCAGGCACCTTTCCCCACCCAGCAGTGGCAAACCTCGGGCACAGTCTGTTCAAAGCCCCACCACGGCTCTCCAGCTTTTCATTTCTGCATGCATCCACCCAGAGCTGACCACATTCTGGAACAGATTAATTAAAACACCCTTGGGATGTGTTGCCTGTGCAAATCACAGCTGGGACTTCGATGCTGTGGCTGCCATCACTCCAAGCATCCCTCACCAGACACTGCAAAGGGATGCCTAAAAATGGGCTCTCAGGGCCACGTCCTTGTGGGGATCAAATGACTGGAAAAGGGGACTTTTGGTGTTGCTGAGCATCCTGAAGGTTTTTTGCTGGCATTTTTAAAGGTCACTATTCAGCTCATAAAGACTACAGGGTGTAAAATACAAATTATTCTGCACCAGCCATTAACTCAGAGACCCCCTGTGACCACCCCACACCTTCCCTTCACCAACAAGGCTCCCCAGTGCTGGTTTTCAGTGAGTCTGGCCAAACTGGCTGACAATTTCCAAGCCTGGGGACACTGATGGCTTCTCCAGTTGTTAATAACTACAACAGAAGCACACCCACAGAGGGATGGCACTGAACTGAGGAGGCTTTTCAGCTGGAAATCAAAGCCAATTCTGTTTCACCCGCATTTTTCCTCCAGTTAAAAAACCCAACAACACCCCTATTGCAATGCCATCAAACCCCCCTGCCAAGCCTCAGCCCGGGATGATGGGGAGGTTTTCTTCCACCCACTCAGCCCTTTAAAAACCAGGCATGAGTTGTGCTCTAACCTCCAAATGGCTGATTTGAATTTGTTGCTCATAGCTGCCTGTTTTATACCAAAAGATATTTTCTTTTAATTAGAATAACACTCAGACCTGCCTCTCCCTCTCTTCCCTCCCCCTGACTCTCAAATCCCTTCCAAAGCAGAGACCCAAAACTGATTGCCTGGCACACAATCAGTAGAAGAAACCTGAGGAGAACAGACACTTAAATAGTTGATAAATGAGAGCATTACCATATGAAAGACACTCAGCCTTCCTGAAACAGCTCTAAAAAGCCAAATAAGACACCTGTTCAGATTAAAAAACTTACAACAGCATCATATGGATTTTAAAAGCACTTTACTATAAAATCCTCCTTTTGCAAATCTCAGTGTTGGACCTTTCTCAGCTCATGTTTACCTTGTTTGATCCTAAAGGTCTCCTGCCATGGACCCTTCCCAAGCAATTTATCACAGGATTTCTCTGTTCTCATTGCTGGAGACTCTCCCTGCCTCACTGGGATCCCTCATTCCTCACTGCAGCCATGGAGGGGAAGGGCTGTAGGGTCACCTATGGATCAAGAGACACCTTTGCTCCCTGTCCACTCACCCAGCAGGCTCTTCCTTTTCAGAGAGGGAGAGAGGAGGGATGTGAATTCTGCAGCTACAGGAAAGCAGAAGAGCAGTGAATGAGCATCTTCATCTAAAAATAAGTTCCCAGAGAGACCTTCCTAAGGTTCCTCTCCCTGCCAGCCCCGCTGTGCTCCCCAGCAGTCTGGCAGCTCAGCTGGATCTCGTGCACAGCCCCCCAGGCTGGCAGGAAAATCAGTCTGGATGGCATCACATGGAAAAGCAGCTTTCTGGTCTGGACCCTGAACAGAAAAGTTGGGGGAAATTCAGTTCTTGCAGAAGTGAAGCAGCACATTTTGCTTTAATTTGCAGGGCAATATTTTCTTCATTCAGTTTCAGAGAGGAGTTGCAGAAACACTTTCTGAGAAGTAAAGTAATAAACAAACACATCTCGTTTCCTTTCAGGTTATTCTTGAACTGTAGAGTTCCATAACCTACCCAGAAATCCACATCTGGGTTTTGCTGTAGAAGCTGATACAGAAATTGTTCAGAAACATTGTTCAAAATACATGGAAAGATGACTCAACCTTTACCAATTCACTGACCCGTCACCACTCCCTTCTTTTTTCAGCCACAACCATTCACCATGATTACATTTTAACTGCATCATAGGGATGTTTCATCCTATAATCACCCCTTCAAGAATGGGGGAAAAAAGCCAGTGACAATCCCCAAAAACAACTCCCTCCACACAAGGGCAGATCTCTGTGCTGCAGAGGTGAGGATGGACAATGCTCTGAGCCCTCCAGAAAAGGCAAACTGGCCCTTTGAGCAAACAACTCGGCCCCTGAGGAGCCAAATGCTTCCAAGGGGGAAGACACCCTCAGTGTGACAACCAGGTTGTTCAGCAGAGCAGGAGAAAACCTGCTCAAGGAAAATGAAAGGCTGAGATAAAGGATTAGCTGGAGTATGGAAAGAAAAGATTTTTTTTTTTGAGGCTTATTTCTACCGACTATTTTATCTGGAGGTGTCATCGTTGAAAAAAGAGCAATATCACATTTGGCAGGCTTAATTTTGACAGGTAAGGGCGCGAGAGCAATCTACATTGCTGGTCTTGGCTGTGCTAAAAAACAACAAAAAAAATCCACCATTTTTAGCATCCAAGGCTGCTGGCAGATGGTGCTCGCTCTGGGGCTGTAACTGAGCTGCTCAAACAGGCACAGCTTTGAAGTTTGCTTCTGAGGGCTGAAAACTGGGAGAGACCCGTGGCCACACTGGCACGAGCAACAGGGAGAGGAGGTTCTGCAGCAGCAGCTCCCACTGAGCCCCAGGGCCTGACATCCTCTGTTCCCTGAGATGACAGCTCGTAAGGCAGAAACAAGAAGGGTGGATTGCTGCAGGAACATTTTAAATCACAAATAACATATGCAAAACTATTCACCTGTGTGCAGATACCTCTGAGCTCCCTGGTGCTGCTGGGGCAGCAGCAGCTGGTGTTGAAGGTCAGTGCACTCAGTTTTCCCTTTATGATTTACATATTCCTCATCTAAATAATGATTCTCAGGGGAAAACGTGTTTGCAGCTGGTTTGGGGACAGTGCCAGTCCCTCAGACACGTGTGGTGTTTGGCACCCTGACATGGGAAGGCTCTCAGAGGGTGATGTGTCACCACATGGTCACATTCCTGCTCCAGGTCCACTAGTGAGACAACTGACAGACTGGCAGTGGAGCTGGCAGCAAGCAAGCAAGAAGTAAAACACTGTCATTCACATCTCCCTTTTCCTCCCTGCCCAGGACCAGCTGCTGAACATCAAGCAGACGCTGGTCCAGGTCCCCCTCAGGCCTCCTCCATAAATCCCTCCTGCAGCAGCACCACTCTCCCCTGCAGCCAGTGTCACTCCAGCACATGCACGAGGGGTTGCTGCAACTTCAGCTGCAACTTTGGGCAGTTCTGCTTTCCAAGCACTCTCCTTCCATCTGGGACAGGGCAGGCACCAAGGTCAGTCACGAGTTCTGGTGCCCAACAGGAGCATCTCCAGGAAGGAATGATTTGACTTTAAATCTGAGCTGCTTCGTCCTTCAGGGCGCTCATCACTCAGCATTTTTTTTGGAGCTTCTTTGCAGCTCGCTTCTAAAAAGTTTGACTCACCACTAAAGGTCAGCCCTGCTGATGTTTCCATGGTCAGTCCTGGAAAATGCTTCACTGGCAGGAGCTGGAAGCAGGAGCTGGAAGCAGGAGCAGCCCCAGTGCAGCTGGCAGGAATGGGGCTGATTGAGCCTCTCAGGTTCCAAACCCCACAGGTTTTGTTACCCCAGCTAAGGCACATTTCCTGGGGTGCCTAGGTGAGGGTTTGTTCCCTGGTAACCACCAGCTCATGCCACCCCTCTGGCTCCCTGGGCACTGTCCCCTGGCACCCCCAAAGCTGGCAGGGAGGGTGGAGGCACTGGGTGGGCACTGTCCCACACTGTCCCCCAAGGCTGGGGGTCAGTGACTGTGCCAGAGGAGCAGAATTAACCTGGCTCTGCTCCCCCATCCTCCCCAGCCACACAAACCACCCTCCCCAGTCACGTTGGGTTTGGTATTTGCCAGCAGCACCACTCAACAGTAAAGGAGAATTATAAAAGAACATCTCCTGCTGTCAGCCTTTTTTAGATCCCGAAAGTTCATTTCCTTTCTCTCCAATTTCCCCCTGCCTTTCCCACCGTCACTGGCAGTCATTTGAACGCAGCACAGACATCACTGTATCGGAAAATAATCACACTGACAGATTTTGTTTGGCTGGATGAGACCTTCCACTGCCGAATCTAATTGCTGCTGATGCTTTATGAGGTCCTCCAGCACGAGATAATTGCTGCTTTCTCTTTTTATGGGCAAGAAATAATCGTCTTTGAAGGTGAGAAATATAAACAGCAATTAAATGCCGTGGTTCTCCTGTCAGAAAGGCAACACTGAAGAAGGTTGGGCTTCATTCATCATTTGCACTGAATACACTGTTTGAAAGGGAGGGAACAGGAACAGTTCAGGGGTGATCTCCAGCTTCTGAAATGTGTGTTTGTCATGGAGAATCAGGAGCAGCTCACCAGCAAAGCAGTTTGCTCACGAGCCACAATGCTCAGCACCACCCCCCAGCCCTTGGCAGGATCTGGCCCCAGGAAAAGATGTAGAGGCAGCAACCTGACCTGTGGATTGTGTCCCTGCTCACGGCACAGGGGTGAGACCAGATGGGTTTTAAGATCCCTTCCAAACCAATCTGTGGTTCTTTGATTCTACAAGACCTTTCTGGGGGCACCCACTGGGCAAGTGGCAGCTGACACCAGCTTTTGTAATCCAGGGGTGTGAAAAGCACTATGGTTTGCACTTGGAGAATCTCTGGGTGCTGCTGCCTGCATGTTTATCCTATTTGAACACTGGAGATGAGTTTCTCTACCACCCACAACAGCTTGTTTTCTGTTGGATTTTTTTTCCCCAGCTTCTTTACCTGAATAAAGTGCCTATGTCTGAATAATTCATTGATGAGGTTTGTACCACTTTGTTCACAAAATCACAGCAGGAGCAGTGTTCTTGATTAAATCCCTCTTTGCCAGCTCCTCTCTGTGATGGAGTCTTGCTCTGCTTGTTCTCTTGCCAGGCAGTGAAGAGCAACACCCCCCTGGGCTGATAAATGTGGGTGCTGAGGGGATGCTGGGGTGGCATTCCCTCCTCTGGCTTGGGAGGGAGTCATATATATAGTCATACAGTCATATATATTAACCTCACATTGGAAGAGCAGTGGTGGAAGGCATCACGGACAGCAAGGTGGAGTGAATTACTGAGATCTCTATTAGCATGTTAATATTTATTTAAAATACATAGTTGGCAAATCTGACTGCCAGAAAATTTGCTAATAATGAATATAAATGAGGCACGAACAGACACAGCAACTAAATTAGAAAAAATGAACTATTACTGTTGTCCTGAATTTTTTCATCCTTTCCTAATGTTGATAAAAAATTCATGAACAGACAGATCAGTGATGGGCCAAAGGTTTTTGCCTTTAATTTATTATGGCAAGACATCAACATATGTGGCTTCCCTTTCCATTCTGCCCTCCTCACAAACAACAAAAGGGATGGGATTTGATCAAGCACAAAAATCAGGCTCTTTACTGGGCAGCAAGACAGGAGAAAAATTTGCTGTTTCCCATTCTAACTCCTAAAACTTCTTATCATTACCACATCTTTAATGTGGAGAAATTTGAGTTTCTCCTTTAGCTTCAAAGATAAATGGAAGGGAGATTTCAATTTGGATTACTTGCAGGAGTGTTGTGGTTGGATTGGGGAGTCCTTGTGGCAGCTTGGAAAAAGCAAAACCTCCCTCCTTGGCTTGGTCCCCAGTGTAACCCCATTACTCATGAGTGAGGAGGGACACGACTTTTCACTCACTGTGGCACAAAAGAACAAGGCAAATATGGTTGAAGGTAGAAAATGGAAGAAGGGATTGATTACCCTGAGGCAACAAATATCACCAGCATAGCCCAGTTACATTATTCAGTGGTATGGAAGGACAGGAAAATGATTTCCAAGAAATTAAAGTTCTATAAACACTTCCCTCACCCTGGTAAGACAACAAATGGGTGGTGCCACTCCCAGCAGGGATGTTCACATGGTACATCAGCTCAGATTTTCTAGGTATTCATAAATAAACTTCAATATGCTTCCTGATCCGTGTCATTGTCTCTATTAGTCCATTATTAACACTATCATCAAGGTACATGGTGGATTTTTTAAGCACTTAGGGCTGTTTTGCATATACAAAACAGGACATTATGTCTTAGGTTTGGTGCTTGCATGAGTGCCCTGTGGTCTGTCAAACACACAGCCCCTTGTTCCTCACACAGCAGCTGCACACGAGGGACTGGATTTCTGGAATGCAGGATGCCTTCCAGCATGGAAACGGGATTTCTGGAATGCAGGATGCCTTCCAGCATGGAAACTGGATTTCTGGAATGGAGGATGCCTTCCAGCATGGAAACGGGATTTAATGGCAGCTCTACAATATGAAGTTTCCAAAATCCCTCCCAGTGGCACTAACAGGACCCCGTGCATCCAAAATCCCACTCAAGAGACCCTTGGGCCGTGCTGCCTGTGGAGCAGGAGGAGGCAGCACTGCTGAGGAGGATGAGGAGCCTCAGATTTCTGTGCTCTGGTAACACAGAACCAACACTGTTCTCTCCAGGCCTGTGGAACACGAGGTGCAGCAAAGGGCACTCACCCTCTTGGTGTAGTCCATTGCCTTCAGGATGGAGAGGTTCAGCATCTCCAGAGAGGCCAAAACGTCTTCATAGTCTCCCATGTGGTCAGCAAAATAGTCTGGGAAAACCAAGAGGGACATGATGGGAACACGCTGAGGAAATTCAACCCTTCAAGGCTGTGTGACAGCAATGTCTATTGTTGGTGGGAAGGTAAACGGGAGAGGATGGTTCCAGGTACATTTTTATACTCTAAACACTGAGTCAAAGTCACACCTTGTCCTGCAGGGGTGGGAAGTGGTGGGATTCCCATGGAGTTTGGGACCATTGCACAAAGGAGGTGTAAGGCCCAGTAGCCCCCATTGAAAATAACTCATGCCCATTTCTGCATTTGATTGTATCTGGTGTCTCTCCCTCCTGTTGCAGGCATGGAGGGAGAAGTCTCAAAAGAAATCCTTGACGTTCTTTACCACCCAAAACATCCAAATACCTCCCAGGTTAAACCCAATTTACGTGAGCTGAGTCTGGTCTTACATCTTTCCCCACATTCCCGTCACATTTGCACCTCAGCCAACAATCAGAGGCTGAACAAGCTTCTGAGAGTAAAATGTGCCTCGAGAGGGAGAGGGAGAGAGAAGAGAGCTGCAGGCTGGCCCCAAAGCACATGTTCTCCATGGAGAGGGAGCCCACCCTCCCTCTGTGCCACCCTGGTTCCTCTGCAGGAGTGGGGATCACCCCAGGCTGCAGCCCCACCCTGGCAGGGCCCTGGCACAGCCCTGGCTGCTCTTCACTGACACCAAACACAGTCCCAGTTGTGTCCCCAGGGGCTGATGGCTCCAGGACACACGGGAACACTGCTCTGGGCCCGAGTTCCCACGTTCTGGAATTCACTGCTCGTGATGGGAACAGCAGCAGAGGAGCAGGACAGCGAGATGTGCTGGGAGTTTGCAGCACAGCCCCGAAGTTTCCCTGTTTCTGGGTGGCTGACACAGGGCACACCTGAAAGCTGTTCCTTGAAAGCCACCAGAGCTGCTCCTGAGCACTGAGACACGAGGGTTCACACTGAGGTGACACCTCTGTGCAGTGCAGCAAGGCAGAAACTTCAGGAAACAACTCCACTAATTAGGTTCTCCTGGCTTAATTAGAAGTGCCTGTAGCTATTTACAGTCTGAGAACACATCCAAAGGGAAGAGGATTTTGGCAGAAAGCGGAATGTCACAGCATGACTGACAGCAGCTGTTTGCTGCTCCACCATGAGCCAAACAGCTCAGTCTCATTGCAGGGTGTTTATTTGTGTCCTTCTTCTGACTTCATTTGGGAAAGAAAACCCGAGCAGATCCGAAAGGCAAAGACTTTTTGTAAGTCCTGAAATAAAAAGCTGGACTCCCACATTTCAGGAGAAATGAGCTGCTGTGGGCAGAGCACAGCCCCTGAGCCTGAGCGAGGAGCACCTGGGAGCAGAACAGTGCTGGCTTTAACAAAGTTAAAGCTGCTTTAGCCTCATTAATTCATGTGAACATCTGAGATCAGCTCTTCCAGTCCTACAAGGTCCTTGCATTGCAGAGGCGACAGTCAATGTTCAGAGGAAGAGCATCACTGCAGCCCCAGACTGGTGTGGGAGGAGGTGGGTGCCCCACACCTGTCCCCAGGAGATGCCATCACCCCAACAGTCTGCAAGAGGCTGATGTGCACCCCCTGCTCGTGGAGCACACTGTTCTCAGGACAGTTTGCACCATTGCACGACTGTCTGTGCTTTGGATGAACCAGAAGTGGCAGGTGCAATTTGGCTCCTGCACTCACATTTTCTGGGCTTATTAAGAGCTCCTGGCTATGGCTGGGAGCTCCTCTGCCAGTGAAGAGCTGCACAACCACCTTTAAGTCAATCAAGGTGCTGGTGATTGTTGCATTTGTTGGCAGGAAAAAATCCCAGAAGTTTTTAAGATGCTGCCTGATATGGATTAACAGCCATATCAGAGTTATCACAGAAGCTGCAGGTCTCAAGAAATCCCTTTTAAGATGCTCCCAACATCTTATAACACACAACCCATTTCCAGACAGACACCACAGTTCCCATTTAGCCAAAATGAGGTTTTATGTTTAAATTAATACTTAGAAGAGAACAAGCAAACAAGAAATTGCAGGCAAGGGCAGGAACTCAGCAGATAACAGCTGCAGGCAGGAGCTTGTGCTGATCGATCCTTCCTCCAGCTTCCCACAGGAGGTGAGGGGTTTATCTCCCTCCTCTCCCAGCAGCTCCACCCCAGGGAGAGGCAGCGAGATGGGATCAGGCTGGGTGACAGCCATGTAATTTTCTGATTCTATCAGAGGGATGGAGAAAGCAGTGTGGGGTCAAGCAATGCCATTATCACCCCTGGATTTCCTGGCAAAGTTGACGGTACAAGCTGTGGGGTTTGGATTTCTTGGGTCAGCTGGCAAGGAGCCCTAACACAACAACAATGGAGAGATGGGAACAAGCCCAGCCTATCATCAGCAAACCAAAAGGATTTTATGGAAGTCTTCGTTTCTTGCATATCAAAGCAGGGATAACCAGCAGAGAGGGGAAATGTTGCTGCCTTTGCTGCAGGCCTGGATGCTCAGGAAGGTGTGGGCAGGAGTTCAGCACTCCAGGAGGAGAGAAACCCTGGGCAGTGTCCTGTTGCAGGCAGACCCACAGACCACCATCAATGGAGAGGTGTTTTAAATATCAGGACAGTGCACAGGCACACAGCAACCACCTCTCTGGCTGCACAACCCACTCCCAGCTACCTCTGGAGGCTTTAACTGGTGCCAAAGCAACGAAGGTCAATGGTGAACACCTGCTGAGGTGGCTTTATGTGTTCTTCTGCATCCTGGCACAGGAGAGGAGAGCAGAGATGAATGAGCCCTCTGCAAAGCCACACACCTCTGACTCCTCATCTCTTCCCAAAAAGCTGGGGTGCAGGAAACATTTTCCAATATCCACGAAAAAATACACCCGAGTGAGCAGCAGGAGTCACTTCCCACTGAGGCAAAGCCCTTCAGGAATCCTGGCAGGAAATTCTCCCTTTCTGGTCAAGGTGTGGGACAAAACATCATCAGAGATTTTCTTTTCAGCCTTTAATTTTGGTGAGCAGTGGGAGGTGCAGTAGGAGGGGTGTACACCTCAGGCAACCTGCTGGAAACACGGAGGTTGGGCTAAGGAGAAACATGTTATGGGTACTGCAGAGGGATGAGGGTTTATTGAGCTGCAGAGCAGAGCTGGAAGCCATGACATCTCCAGAAATTAAACTCCAGCTTGTTCCTGAGTGGGAGCCAAGCACTTTGATCAGCTCTGACCCCATTTGTGCTGCAAGAAGATGAAGAAAAGTTTTGCCAATTTTCCCGTGGAATAAGGGGCAAAGCAGCAGGAGGGCTGAGATCCCCCATGTCCTCAGCACTGAGAGCTTTGTGCTGGGTTTCGTGCATCCTTCAGAGCCCCACATGCAGCAAGGATTGCTTTCACCCCAGAAAAAGGGCCACACTCACCACACAGCTCCTTGGTGTCCACATTGCTGGCAGAGGGGGAGAACAAGGCAGGGGAGGAAGCAGGAAAAAAAACAGAGAGAAAGAAAGAGAATTTTAATGTAAAGGACAGATGATGGCTACATTTAGGACTCCTGCAGGCTTAACCCCAGACACCCACCTGCAAGGTCACCCCCCCTCTGGGCATTGCCCAGCCACCAGCGTGGAGAAGCTGTGGAGAAGGAAGGGCTGGTGCCACTCAGGGCATCCCCACCCCACTGCACCCTCAGCATCTGTGCAGCTGGAACTGCTTCACACCTTATTTTGGATGTTCCCTGAGGGGCAGATGGGTCCTTGTGCATCCTCCCCCTGCCCAGAGGGAACCTGTGCCTGAGAGGACCCAGCACACCTGACATGATCTGCTCTGACTTCCTCCCAAACATCCCCCCGGGCAACACCCTGCTGAGGCACTCGATGTGATGGCATTTGGCACAGGAACGTGCCAAACGTGCCCGTTTAGTCACTAAAAAAATCTGCAAAATTTACTTTTCTAGATGGACCAATTCTCCTGTTTCTTCCCCTGCAAAGCAGCTCCTACCCAGGACTCCCTGCAGACAAAACTGCTCAATTACTTCTTAACACATGAACATTTAGTTTACATAACATCTCAACAGATGACCTGCTTGGGAAATAAAGATTGCTGCTAATCTCTTTGTGCCTCTGATTCCCACACAACTGTTAGTGCCACTCAAGCACTGGAATGATCTCTTAACAGAATTATATTTTTATCAATCCATTTTTATGTCCTGGAAAGTTATTTCTTTAACTAAACTCATCCCTGCTCTGTCTAACCTGTCAACATAAGTGGATTAGGGAAAGAGAAATTTTCAATAGCACTTCCACTGACAGCATCTCCTGCAGCCCTGCCTTGATCCCCAAATCAAGGCAAACATGAACATCGTGGCCCTGGGAGATGCTCCCTGCCAGAAAGGTGCCACCCGACCTGTCTGCTGCTGTAAAAGCACATTCCTGGAACACACACCCCCTTTGGTGAGTGGTGTTTGTCATGTGCAAAGGAGTCACCTCCTGTCTCAGAGAGGTGCAGGACCCGTGGCTGCTGCTGGCACACAGCAGAGCTGGGTGGGCAGCACGGGCCCCTCTCTGCACAGGGAGCTTTGGCACTGCTTTATCTTCATCCTCTTGGAGATTCATCATCTTTCTCAAACCCTGCCAGTACTTCACCGAATCCTGCAAACCCCCCTGGGGATGCTGTGAGCTCTGTCTCCCTGGCTTGGTGTTCTCATGCCCAAATCAGTAATATTTTTCAGAAGCCAGTGTTTATAAACACCTACTGAAGTGGTTATGGGTTTGCAGCTAGGGCACCTTACTGAGGAAAAAAAATCTATTATTGTATTCCACGTGGTTTTGCATTGTGATAATTGATCTGCTGCTGCTGCCAAGAATGGTCTTTTATTTCCTCACATCTTGTCGTCCTATTTAACTTAATTGTGCTCGAATGTTAGCTTGTCTGAGAAGTTGTTTTTAATTTTAAGCCATCTCTCATTAAGAATAAGCCTAATGAAAGAAATTACTGAAGTCACAAGCTGACTTAATAAAAAAATATGATAATGTTCAGATGAAAATTAGTCAGGAGAAATCGGTGGGTACTTGAGCAGGATGTTTCCACCCCCAGGAGTGTTCCTGCTGGGATCATTGCTGACACACAGCCATGTGTGGCCCCTTCTGTGTTCCTGGGGCTTTTCCTGCCCACTGTGGGAGCTGCAGCTCTGACCAGGCAGTGCCCAGCTACAACACAATTTATGGGCTGATCCAGTGGTTTAATGCTTCAGTAACTCACCCCCACCATGGGCTGTGCCAGTAGGATTTTATCACGTCAATATTCAGAATCTGGGTTTCCAGCCCCGTGAAATGGGACGTGGCACCTTTGTCATCCCCTGCCTCTCATCCCAGAGCTGCCCCTCAGAAGTTGTTCTTGGAGCAGTCAGATATCACAGGACTTTTCAGCATGAAAACATTTAGGTGAGAATTAGTTACCAGGTTTTTTTTTCAGCTGCCAAATATTCAACATTCCCGTATGCCACAACAAGCTAAAGAGAAAAATGGCAACAAGTTGTTTTCGTGTTCTCAGAAAAAAAAATTAAAAAATCCTTCAGCCAGAATAACACTTGGCTGTGAATTAGCTTTCAATTTTAACTCTAATTACATTGATAGTGTGACTAATTCAAGAGCTTATTGAAGCCATAACCCAACTAAGCAGAATATCATAATGTTCGAGTTTAAATGAAAAAATCATTAAAGACTTCTGTGTTATATATTTTTTTCTGCATAGTAAAGGCCACGTCTATCTGACCTCTTTCTAAAACAAAAGTCTTTCTTTCAAATGAGAAAAAACCCCAAGAAAATCGAAATTGTTTTGGTTTCAGGCCTTTTCTCTGTTTTCCAGCCACTGAAGCTGTAGCAGCACAACCTGGCACTCCCAGTCTTACCAGGGCTGTGCACCCTTTGAGGTTATTTTCCAAGGCAAAGATACACTTTGAAGATCCTCCATCTGCCTTTTGAGACCTATTTGCTCCAACAGAGGTACGAGGCAAAAACAAGAGCTCAGATTTCTGAGAAGTCAGAGCCCAAGCCATGAACTACTTTGGCCTCAAAAAGGGCTGTTTATCACTCACCACCCACCACCATTTAAATACAATGTGATAGTTTGACCAGATAAACATATTGGCAATGGGGAAATAGTTTTCCTTCTGGTTCACATCCAGCTATTTCAAAGATTAAGAAAAGACCTCAAAGTGTGACACTCCTCCTGTGCATGTGGGAGTTTAAAGAGCAACGACCCTGCTGTGAGAGCATCTCCTCAGTCGGCTTAATTAGGTGAACTTGCCCAGAGAGTAATTACTGCTGCGTGATTAGTGAGAGGAAGAGGCTGCCCAGAGCCATGGCTGTGCCTCCTGTGTACTCCAGAGACAGACATTTCTCCCCCCAAAGCCCCACCCAGCAGTAAATTGCAGTTTGATGACGCCTGAGCTAATGAGGATCCCTGGGAAGTCACATCTTTCCCTTGCCGTGCCCCTGATTGTGGATTATCCAGTGGATGGGCTTTTGTCAGAGTTTTCCTGTGCTGACTTTTTGCTGCTTTTCTTTTCTTTTAGAAGATTTTTTTCCTTCTCTACCTGCTTTTCTGGAAACAAGATGCCACCTCTGACATTTGGTGGCAGGGAGCAGCACCATCAGACAGAGGACAGAGTGCAGCAGGGTGTCCAACAGCCCAGGGATCAGGGGCTGAACATCCCAGAGCCAGACCCTGGGGGGGTGATGGTACCCGCCTTACCTGTAGGTCCCGGGTCAGCAGCTCCAGCCACACTGACCCAGACCAGCCCAACACTTCCTTTGAGCAATTCAGTGTTTCCTAGCAGGGAAAAAAAGGTATTTCTGGAAATTCTCCCCCACTATTATTTGTGTTACCTCTCAGCAGCACAGGGAGGGGTCACCCAGAGAGCATCCCAGGAGCTCTCAGCGTGGCAAAGCCAGGGATGTCCTGGCCCAGTGCTGCTGCTGACCTGGAGGACCCTTCCCACAAACACAGCTGTGAGTTTGCCACCCAGCATCTCTCCCTCTCTGTCCCAGCACCTCCCCAAGGCAGGGCTGATGGCCCCTGACTCGCTGGCATTAACACAGTTCTCCAGACTTCAGCCGTGGAGAGGAGAGGAGAAGTTATCTCAGGATGGGGAAGACAACAGGGAGGAGCAGAGCCTGAAATTCCCTTCCTGGGTTCCAGCTCAGCCAAGGAAAGGTGTCCCAGGCTCTCCCAACAGGCGGCTCAATCAGAACCATAATGGCAATTCAGAAGTTGCAAATTTATCAGAGTCTCATCTTCACACTTCTCATGCAAATATCTGCCTGGATGTGCTGCTCAAAGGCTGCTCAATGCCCCAGGCTTCAGCTGAAGATAATAACCCTTTTCCTTGGGCAGATGAAAGGTTTGCATCAGCAGCCCCACGGCTTAGTCACTTCACCAGCACAGAAAATGGAGGGGTTTCTTTTCTGAAATCACGTTCTACTTTTATTTCCATCTTCTATTCACAGCTTTGGGTTTGCTACAAGGCTTCAAACGAGCACGGAAACAAATTATCCTCTAGCATTAGCCACCTGCAAAACTCATTTTCATTTAGGAAAGACTAAAAAACAACAAGTGCAGCTGGAATGTATTATTATATCTGATGATACGGCTTCTAGTCCCAGCAGCAACAGCACCGTGTTATCTTAACACCTCAGAAGTGCAAAATGTGCACCCAGATGCCTACTAAGGGGTCACAGATGGTCACTTTTGATCATTAGTTTCTGAACTCAATTAAACATTTTCACACAAGCCCCAGAGCAAGAGAAATTATTCCAGGCAGAGCAAGCAAAATACCAAATACTGGATGATGGCCAGGAGCTGAATAACTTCAATTCTAAAGGATTAAGTAACTTTCCAAGCCCATCTCTTCTGGAGAACCCCGGTAAATTCTTCCCAAGACCTACCCAAGTACCTGCCCTTCCCCTGCCCACTTGCTTAAAAAAAAGCCAAAAACACTCTTATGGTATGACTTAAAAAGGGACTTCCAAAATCTGAAGTGCCACATGCAAAGAAACAGCAGAAACCATATGTGAAGGCTGCCCACAACCAGAAGGACATGGAGCCAACTGCAGCTTCAAATGACACAGGCAGAGAAGGATTCAGAGCATATGTCAGCCCTGGCTTCCATTTCCTGAGCTGTGGCAAGCTGGCTGGCAGGGCTCTGGTGCCTGCCTGGCTCTTGCTTTGAAGGATGGTCTTTATCTCTTGCCAAATGTCCCTGCTTCCTGCATGGCACAAATTTAAGGTGTATTTCGTGGTGTGCTCCAGCAGGAGTAAATCAGAGGTGCACGTCCTGGTGCAGGCACAGCTGCCCTGCTCACTGTCCAACAAACAGAGAGAGCAGGGAGTCTGAAAAAACCCAGCAGGTACTGCTCATTCAGCTCTGCTTTTCCCAGCAGGGCAGAAAGT